TGGATGAGGATGCGAGGATGTGTTTGTTTTGTTTGTTTTTTTGTTTGTTTGTTCTGCTGATGCTCTTGGCCATTTGCTCTTTTCTAGTTTGGCACTCCCCAACCTGCCTTACCCTGGCCTGGCCATTCTCTCATATCCTAGCAGCATTTCTAGTGAAAGTTTATTTCATTTTTTTCGCTCTCACTGCTCTCTCTCTGTCTCTCTATCTGCCTTTCCTGCTGCTGTTCCTGCGCTGCATTTGTGCCTGTTGCCCGCAAGTCAAAAAGTTTAAAATGTGTCATATATTTTTTTGGTCTTTTTTTTAGCTTTATATATCTGCTCTATTTATGGGAGAAGGGAGCGCATACTGTACAGTGTAGCGTCGTTAGGTGAAAGGTCAGTTTGGGTTAGCAGTTTTGGATTTCGCAAAGTTGCCTGTTGCAGACATTAAAATTGAAATGTCATGAGCATTTTTTTAAGTTTAATGGACCATAATAGGGGGACTCAGTACTGATCCAAAAATTACAAAAAAAAAAAAACCAGAGTAGCAGAAATTATATTAAAACTATATTTTCTATAGCTGTAGTTATTGTCTCTGATGACTTGCATGTAAATTGAAACGCTTAAACTCTGATTGCCTTTTGGCCATGCCATGAAAGAAAAATCCTTAAACATTTTACAACCGACTCGAAGCGCTTGGCCGCGCTGCTTTAACGTTAACTTCAGCCACTCGACCACAGGACACTGATGACCTATCCACAAAATCCACATCCACAGCCCTCTAGCGCCATCCCATCCCATACCCCCCTCCCCCCAACAAACCCAGTGCCAATCCCAATGCACCCACTTTTCTTAGTACAACTTTTGGTAGTTTTTGATGCCCTCGCAAAAGGGTTTTATGACTTTGAAATAAAGCAGTTGAGACCTACTAAAGTGTGCTATATATTATTGCTGTGTATAAAAAACAAAGAGAAAAGCGAAAAAGATTATAAATTCATCTCTCTTGCTCTCGTAGCTGAAATCAAATCACTATAAAATGGAGGTAAAATAGTACTAATCGTTGGAGACACAAAAATCTTGACTGAGCAGTTTCAAGTAGGTTATATTTTTTAATACAAATGTTAGAAATTACAAATGTTAATCCAATATTATACTATATTTAATTAATTTAATGGAACTGTTACCTTGATATCATCAACTTATAATAGCAGAGATCATTTTTCAAGTGCTTCCAAGCTTTCGGTTCTTATAGTATATGTAATAACAGTCGTTATTTCTTCTAAACTTGCTCTTCATTTATTGCAACTCTCGCTATGAAATAATCTACTTATTATAGCCGAAATCATTCCTTAAGAGTATCTTCGTCGTCGACTTCAAATGTAGCCTCTCTGTCATCCGTGTTTTTTTTTGCAGCTTTGCTCCACTCTTAGAGAGAATTTTCAGAGTGTTTTCGTTGCTTCTTTTTTAGTTTTTTTAATATTTTTGGTGTTTTTTTGTTGTTTTTTTTTGCTTAGTTTGGCAAAAACACGCAGCGACCATTTTTCATATTTTCATTTATAAATTTATTATAAAGCCAACAGCAGCAGCAGCAGCAGCAACAGCAACAGAAGTGGGAGCTAGAGCTCTGAAGCTCTGTGACTCCTGGAAGCGCCGGCCTTGGGGCTGTGTGGGGGGCTTAATAGCCAGCTTTCTATGGTGCTCAGGGCCTGCGATGTTCTGCGGTTTAGACCTCGGCTACTTTGGCATTTATTTTAAATTATAGTTGGGTTGTAATAACTAATGCTCAGACCAGAGAGTGGCAGCACAGAGAGAGAGAGAGAGAGAGGGGGAGAGTGGGGACGACAGCTTTTGGTTGTACACACACATACGGAAAATTATAGACATTTTCTCTGTTGTGAAACTTGTATTTAGCTGCTGCTACCCTTTAATAAGGATAGAGGGGGTAGTGGCGAGAGGGTGGGGGGGCATTTCAGAGTACATTTCTGGTACATGACATAAGCTCAGTGTCTGTGTGTGTGTGTGTGTGTGCAGAAAAAGTTTTTTCTTTTTTGTTTTTTGTTTTCTAATTAAATTTACTGCAAAATGAATGTAAAATTCAACAAATTTCTCACCCAATGCATAATTATGAAAATTCCTGTCTTTTAGAAAGGGTATGGTTGGTGGAGTAGGGAGGTGTGGAGGGTGGGAGGAACTAAGTTGACATTTTTCGGTTGCACTAATTGAAAATTCCTCAACAGTGGGGCGGGGAGTCGAGTCGAGTCGTGTCTCTTGTGCCCTGTGTCCTACAGCTGACAAGGTTTCTCAAACATTTTCCCAGTGTCTAAATTATATGCCACGATTAATAAATAATGTCAATCGATTGGGCAGGACCACCCACTCTCTCTCTCGCTATCTAGAAACCCCCCCCCAAGAAACCCCCAAATGAAATGTAAGTAAATATGAATGAGTTTTCGAGTTGGATGTTAATGAAATATGAATAGAGGGAAGACCGACAGCAATCATGTGTCCATCACAGGGAAAACTTTTATTTTTCTGCCAAAAACAGAAGCAGAAAAAAAGGGTGGCAGGGTGGTCAGGAAGGGAAAAAGAATGGAAGGAAAAAATTGTAATCGAAAACCAAAGTGAAAATGAAGCCTTTACCGCGGAAAAACCCCCACAAAAAAACTGCTGGCGAAACAAACAAAAATTACAATGCTTAATTATGAAAAGTGTTTTTCTCGTCCTGGAAATGTGGGGAGCAGCAGCAGCAGCAGCAGCAACAAAAGTGGGGACGGAAAACGCACATGGAAAACATGGGTTAATGAGCGAGAATTATAATGAAGTATTCTTGGTGGGGGTGGTGAACAAGAACAAGAACAAGAACAACCCTTGCGGCACCATCACTGCTGCCAAAGCCGTCGCATGTGGGTCATTGGTGGCGTCCCATCCCTCTCCCGGGGGTCACCCTTCTAATGGGGCTAATCAAATATTTGACATTTACTTTCGGTGGGGCTGTCCTGGCTGTACAGACTGCCAACGTTTTCTTCATTAAAATTGAAGTGTTGTTGGAATTTTGTAAACATTCCATCCACCGGCACATGGTATATCGTATGGTGGGGCAGGCGGTGCGGCTAGATTGGAGATCCAACACTTGTTTACATGGAAAATACATACATATACCTAAATATATATATTCTAGACCCTAAATTATTGTTGTACTTTAGGTGTAGCTGCTTGAATTGGTCAGTGAGAGCTGGAGGAGCCAAAAGACCTTCAAATGGGTGGGGGGACGTTGAAATATTATCGATATTTGAATGCCATATTTAACCATAGTAGAATGCTAATAAACTCATTAAAACTCAGTAAAAAATTCATTCAAATAGGAATAGGAATAATAGGTAACTAAAAGGCATTGTGATGCAATTTATGTAACTTAAAAATCGATATTATAGGCGATGTTGGATTGAACACCGATAAAGGCCTTTAAAAATGATTAATTTTTTCATAATTAATAAGATTTATCCATTTAATACACAAAATAAACTATTTGATACGATTTTTATAGAAATTTTATGTGGATCTTTGATTATATCATTGAAAAATCTATATAAAACTGAATTAAATTAAATTTTTTTGTTTACTATTTTACTATTTTTTAAATTACTATTAAATTGATCGATACAGGCCATAAAAAATTTATTGAAACGTATTTTGTTGATACAATTTATTAATACATTATTTTATGTATTTATTTATTTTTTTTAAATTTATTTTATATATCTAAATAATCTTCAAACATTATTCAACTACTTATCAATAGAAGATCATCCATAAAAGAATATAATTACATTAAATGTAACCTTTCAGCGCTTTAAATCTTCAAACAAAAAGCCAGGCAACAACAGTTTTCTGTTTCTATATATCCCCCCATCACTCTTTCTACATCCATCCATGCCATGTAAAACTGTGTTGAAATCAATCGAATAAAGGAAAACTCTTCACAGATCAAATCCAAATTGATGCACAGATCAAAACAATAACAGAATATGGGGGAGATGGACATGTACGGGTGTATGTGGTGGCTATATTCCAGGTTCAATGGCAAAAATTAAACCAAAAGAGGAGAGACAAAGGACACTGGCTGCGGAAATGCTGAATGCGGGCTTTGGTTTACAGCGACGACGACATCCACGATGAATGGTCTGCGGACAGAGAGTCCAGAGCTCATGTGGATGGGGGAATGGTTAGGGAATGGGTGGGTGGATGGGATGGGACTTCTTTCGGACAGGACAACAACTGAGTGACCAACACACAATGGGGCGAGGCCGCTGCCGACGGGAATGATGTGAGTTACGCGCCACAGAGCCGATAAATATTTATTTGCATGTGTGTGCCCTGTGTGCGCCCTGTGTGCGCCCTGTGTGTGGATGTGGTTGTGGCCCTGTGCGTGTTAATTAAGAATTTGCAGGGCAGACAGACGATTAAATGTGTATGAAAATGTGCACACGCCCTTCAGGGGCATCCTCCCCTACTTGCTGCTGCTGCTGCTGCTCCTCCTTCTTCTTCTTCGGCGTCACGCACATGGAAAACCATTAGTTCTGAAGGAAAAGCGATGCCAGGGGGATGGTACATAAATATACATATGATGATAATGTGTTGTAGCGGGGGGGTGTAGTGGAGAACGGGGTACGGAAAGGGTTTTAAGCGGCAGATAATCGAATAAATTAATGGTATGCGCCCAAATGAAATATATATTGATTCATGCTGATAAATCTGCTTACATCTTTTTGGCGGCAGGGGAAAAAACGTTGTGGGGTCTACCAAGATAAGCGAATTCTTGAGAGCTCTTTGATAAGAATTATATGAGTCAATAGTAATCGGTAATTGCAAACGTTGCGGAACTTTAAAGGCTGCAGAACTGTAGAGATTCACAGTAATTCATAAGAAAGCATATTAGTTACACTATTCATTTTTTGTTGTTCTTTTCCTAGTCTTTGTATTTTTATTTCACCACTAAAGAAAATATTTGTATTAATTTAATCAATTTATTTACTTATTCGTACTTAAATTTACTAGTATAACGACACTCAAGGTACTGATGGAGTAATTCTACTAGGAGTTTGGCGGTAGTTTCTGTTTCTGTGCCTCACATTTTACTGCTTCTTGACCTTCTTGGGCTTCGAGGAGAACTTCCTGCAGATGAACTTAATGACAGCCTTCGTGAGCAGCAGGAAAACGACTGCAATGATGGCCAGCAGAGCGTAGATATCCAGGTTGTTGGCTGCTATGAAACTCATGTGCATCAGGGGACTCTGCAGATGGGCGGCGCCATGGTGGCGGATAACGTACTCGGACCAGTAGATGACCGTTTCCCGGGCGGTGAGTGGACGATCGCGGTAGAGCTGGGAGAAGGTGGACACCGTCTGGAAGTACTTGGGGTTCGAGAGGATCTCCTCGATGCCCTCGCGGAACGGCTGCTCCTCGAGGGTCAGGAGATTGAGCGTGAGGCCAAAGCCCTTCTTGACCATCCCATCGGCATTGGCGGGCTGGTCCCCAAAGACGGGAAGGGAGAGCATGGGCTTGCCGTGGTACTGGGCCTCGGTGAGGCCGCCCTTTCCCGCGTGATTGATGAACAGCTTGATCTTGGGATGGGCCAGGATGTCGTCCTGTGGCAGCCACTTGGAGTAGAGGATGTTGTCCGACTTGCCGGGGGTCTTGTCCAGGTCCTCCCACTTCCAGATGACCCTCTGCTTCAGCTTGGAGAGGACATTGAACATCTTTTGGACGGTCTCTGGGCTGAGATGCTTGCCCTGCACATTGGAGCCCAGACTGAGGAGGATTGCCCCGTCCGTGGCATTGCCCAGGAACTCCTCCATGTTCGCGGGGAGTGGAGCGGGCGTATCCTTGATCTGAATGCCACCAATCTCGATCACACCGGGAACATTGGGCCGAACGGGTCCCTCGCTCAATGCGTGGGAGGCGAAGAACACGAGGGAGGTGTTCTTCATCATCTCTGAGTACTCGGGCATGTTGGGATCATCGCCAAAAAGCTCTCTGTGTGGAGTTAAAAGGGAGATGAGTAACTTTTCTGGGGGCTTTTCTGTTCCTTTACTCACTTGTAAGACTTTTTGCTGCGCCTCTCAATCAATTTTGAAAATACCTTATAGCCGAGGCCCATCACGTATCCACTGAGGCGCTGCTTAAAGGTCATGCCCTTTCCCTTTTCCACCGAATCATTCATACCGGGCACATATGACAGCTCTTCCGGATTGCCAATCAAATAGTTGAGCAACAGGCCCGGCGGCATGGTGGCCACAACGATCAGGGGGGCCTGCACCTTCTGGGCAAAACCCATCTGATAGTCGTTCAAGGAAAAGCCCGAGAGAACCAGATCAAACCTGTTGTCCTTGTTTAGGTAGAGATCTCGCACTCGCGGATCCTTCAGTGCATCTTCCATTTTCTGTAACATAAATCCCATCCGTCCGAACATGCGGAACATGGAAACGAGCATATTCCTGTTATTGTACTTGGATATTTCCGCAAACAGATCGTTCAAGTATTGGCTCGCCTCCTCGCTCAGTGGCACCTCAATCACACGGATATCCTTGTGGCTGACCGCTGACTTCAGTACAGTCACCACTGTGACATTGTGCCCGCTCTCGGCGAGCGCCTTGGCCGCCGACATTTGTATAATCAAATGGGAGGGACTTAAGCTGGTGAAGAGTCCCAAAATGTTGGCTCCCTGAGTGCCGCCGATAAGTGCGGCGACAGCAGCTACCGCTAGCAACAAAATTCGCACCATTTTCGACCTGTGTGTGTCTGTGTGGGGGAGCAGGCAGCCTACTTCTGGCTAGACAACTGCCAGCTCGCGGCTTATATTAACTAAATGTGGTAACACACTTGAGGTTTGCCGCGATAAGGCGTACGTACGCTACCATTTCGCCATAAAATTTGTCCATTTCGTGTTTAACAATTTCATTTAAATTTAGATTTTTGGCTGTTATCAAACATAACGAATGATTCGTACCCCAAAGAGAGAGAGGCACACACAATCGTCACGTAGAGCGAATATATAAATAAGCTTCGGGTTGCTCCTCGTTTTACACAAACAAAATCCACAGATAAACATAATGTTTAGGCCGATAAGAGCCACATTTTTCTTATCAACATTTTTGAGTGCATTTCACGCACGAAATGGCCAAAAATAATTGCGAAATGTTTTATCATTACCTAGCACAACATTGGAGCACAATTGCACACACACACACACACACACAGGAGAGGGACTGGCAGCCCGTTATCAGGGCCCCCTTTAGGCAAACCTGATTAGTCATCCAATGTCAGCGCGAAAATTGTTTTCACTATAAAGCAGTGCCAGTGCGGCGCTATATCGACAGTCCGCCGGTTGCCTTACAAACGTCCACATACGTCGCTATGCTGCTGAACACTACGCGAATTTTGCTGCTGGCCGTGGCCGCCGTCGCGCTTATCGATGGCAGTCAGGGTGCGAATATTCTGGGTTTATTTCCCAGTCTAAGTCCCTCCCATTTGATCATACAAATGTCGGCCGTGAAGGCGCTCGCCGAGAGGGGGCACAATGTCACTGTGGTGACTGTGCTGAAGCCGGCAGTCACCCACAAGGACATCACCGTTATACGTGTGCCCCTCAGCACGGAGGAGGCGGCCGAGATGAGCGCCATGATAGAGAAAATGGCCAAGAATGAGAACAAAAATATGCTAGTTGCCATGTTCCGGATGATCGGACAGATGGGCTTTATGTTCCGCAAAATGGCAGATGCCCTCAGGGATCCGCGAGTGCGAGATCTCTACCTAAACAAGGACAACAGATTCGATCTCGTTCTGTCGGGTTTCTTCATGAACGACTACCAGATGGGTTTTGCCAAGAAGGTGAATGCCCCCCTGATCGTGCTGGCTACCATGCCACCGAATATGTTGCTGAATCCCTTGGTGGGCAACCCCAACGAAATCGCTTATGTCCCGAGTATAAATGATGCCGTGGAAAAGGGAAAGGGCATGTCATTCAAGCAGCGCATCAAATGCTTCATTATGACCGCTGGCTTTGGGGTTTTTGCCAAAATAACAGAAAACCGCAACAGAAATACATACAAGTGAGTATATCCCCCTCAGAAAACCCCCCTGCCAGGACGTATACTCATCTCCCTCTTAACTCTCCGCAGGGAACTCTTTGGCGATGATCCCAACATGCCCGAGTACTCAGAGATGATGAAGAACACCTCCCTCGTGTTCTTTGCCTCCCACGCATTGAGCGAGGGACCCGTGCGGCCCAATGTTCCCGGTGTGATCGAGATTGGTGGCATTCAGATCAAGGATACGCCCGCTCCACTCCCCGCGAACATGGAGGAGTTCCTGGGCAATGCCACGGACGGGGCAATCCTCCTCAGTCTGGGCTCCAATGTGCAGGGCAAGCATCTCAGCCCAGAGACCGTCCAAAAGATGTTCAATGTCCTCTCCAAGCTGAAGCAGAGGGTCATCTGGAAGTGGGAGGACCTGGACAAGACCCCCGGCAAGTCGGACAACATCCTCTACTCCAAGTGGCTGCCACAGGACGACATCCTGGCCCATCCCAAGATCAAGCTGTTCATCAATCACGCGGGAAAGGGCGGCCTCACCGAGGCCCAGTACCACGGCAAGCCCATGCTCTCCCTTCCCGTCTTTGGGGACCAGCCCGCCAATGCCGATGGGATGGTCAAGAAGGGCTTTGGCCTCACGCTCAATCTCCTGACCCTCGAGGAGCAGCCGTTCCGCGAGGGCATCGAGGAGATCCTCTCGAACCCCAAGTACTTCCAGACGGTGTCCACCTTCTCCCAGCTCTACCGCGATCGTCCACTCACCGCCCGGGAAACGGTCATCTACTGGTCCGAGTACGTTATCCGCCACCACGGCGCCGCCCACCTGCAGAGCCCCCTGATCCACATGAGTTTCATAGCAGCCAACAACCTGGATATCTACGCTCTGTTGGCCATCATTGCAGTTGTTTTCCTGCTGCTGACGAAGGCTGTCATAAAGTTCATCTGCAGGAAGTTCTCCTCGAAGCCAAAGAAGGTCAAGAAGCAGTAAAATGTGAGGCGCAGAAGCAGAAACTATCGCCAAACCCCTAACAAAATTACTCCATCAGTACCTTGAGTGTCGTTATACTATTAAATTTAAGTACATATAAGTAAATATTATCGTGTATTTAGAGTTGAAATATAAATAGATTTGGTAGAAAAAAGACCATGAAATTGTAGTTAACAAGAGATAAGATAACAAATAATAAAAAGTAATAATTATAGCAGCATAAAGCATTACGTTTGATCAAACACGGCTCGAGCTCACTATAACAAAAATTCCATTCCGCTAAATTCGACGTAGCATTGCAAAGTTTGGGTTGATCCAACCGATAACAAACGAACTTTATGATTCGACAAGTGTAATTGCAAATAGTAAATTGTGTTTGATCAATCTCCTTTTCCTTTTACACCTCACATTCTGCAGCAATGTGTTCGAGTTCGAGTCCGAGAGCAGCGCCACGAGCAGCTTTCGCCCAAGATCAAACATGTTTGATGGCCCCATTCAGATTTATCTCTTGGGTTCTCCTTATCTTTGCTTCAGCCCATGAATGGGCTGCATGAATTAATGAGATTTGCTATGAGCCAAAAACCACGCTGATTCACCCTCTATTTTAAGCATTCTATAAATTGTAGCAATGTGGAAGATATTCACAGATAAACTACAAACAAAAATATTCTTTTTCGAAGAACCAAAAATACAAATCTGCCACCCAATAAAATATTGTTTCCAAGCCAAAGTACACAGACAAATCAATGAAATACTCCCAAGTATACATATGTATTTCTAATACTTCCTCATAGTTGCATTGTTATAATGATTAGGCTGTTCTCTAGTATAGAATTAATCAAACTACCTCTTCAGGCTGCCACATGTTAAGGTGGCCATTGATTATGTTATCAATGGGATGATTAAAGTAGAGTCTAAAAGATTGTAAATAATGTGGAATACCTTGGCTACTATGACTCGTATGATAGCAGCAAAGGCTGTCTTATACGAAAGGCTACCATTACTATAATAATAATAGTACTATTATTATTATCATGGAATAATATAAATGGTTCTTTTGGGGCAAAAATATAAATGACTGCTTTTTGCTCATTGTTAAATAATATTCATTCTATTCTATTTGTGGAGAGCGAAACTGTTGCTCAAGTCAATGACAGATAATGCTTATCATCGTGATTTAAATTTGTTTGGAATTCTACAGCCCAGCAGCAGCAAGTTTTTGCATTAGTTTCTTCATACAGCAGATGTTTACAGCGCTCAAAAGATTAAGAAACTATTAAAAGTCGCAGCAGACGACTGTTTAATAGCCGCTCGAGCTGATAACGCTTATCAGAGGGATTTCTGTTAAGGGGAGAAGCCAGCAGCCAGCACCAACACCTGTGGCAAGCTCCCCCCGATCAGTTGACTTTCAGTTGCTCGCGTGATCAGATGGCCGTAAAATTGAACATTCCCTTGCTGTTGCTGGCCCTGTTGGCGGGCGGCAGTCAGGCTGCCAATATTCTGGGACTCTTCACCAGTTTGAGTCCCTCGCATTTGGTCATTCAGATGTCAATGGCCAAGATACTGGCCGAGAGTGGACACAATGTGACTGTGGTCACTGCCCTGAAGCCGCCGTTTCTGCATCAATCCATCAATCATATTCAAGTGCCACTCAATGAGGCGGATGGCAAGTCCTTTGGCGCCCTTGTTGCGGGCATGGCCAAGAGGGATACCAGCAATCCGGTCATTTCCATGTTCTTGGCCATGGGCTCCATGCTGTCGCTCTTTGGCAAAATGGAGGATGTCTTGAGGCACCAGAAGGTGCAGGATCTGTACGAACAGCCCGACAATCACTTTGATTTGGTCATCTTGGGTTACTTTATGAACAGCCTGCAGCTGTCGGTGGCCCACAAGTTGAAGGTGCCACAAATAGTGGCACTCTCCAATCCGCCCGTCCTGCTGGGCTCTGTCCTGGGCAATCCCAGTGAAATCTCCTATGTGCCATCCCTGAATGTGGTCGTGGAAAAGGGTCAAACGATGAGCATTTTCCAGCGTTTGTTGAACATATTCGGCACTGTGGGACAATGGATATTTATGCTGGCGATTGAGCATAATAATGACAAAATTTACAAGTGAGTAAAAGTCCAGTCCAGAAAAAAACCAAGAGAAATACTCATTTAATGGCATTCCCTGTAGAGACCTCTATGGCGATGATCCCTCGATGCCACGCTATGAGGATCTGTATAAGAACATTTCCCTCATATTCTTTGCTTCGCATGGCATCAGTGAGGGTCCCATTCGACCCAATGTGCCCGCTGTGATCGAAGTGGGCGGCATACAGGTCAAGGATCAACCAGATCCTCTGCCCAAGGATATAGAAGAGTTTCTAAACGGCGCCACAGAGGCACAGGGCGCCATTCTGCTCAGTCTGGGCTCCAATGTGAAGGCGGAACACATCCAAACGGACACCGTGCAAAAGATGTTCAATGTCATCTCGAAACTAAAGCATAAAGTCATCTGGAAATGGGATGACCTGGAGAATACGCCAGGGAAATCGGCGAATATTCTCTACGCCAAGTGGCTGCCACAGGACGATATCCTGGCCCATCCCAAGATCCGGCTGTTCATTACCCACGCGGGCAAGGGAGGCGTCACCGAGGCCCAGTATCACGGCAAACCCATGCTAGCCCTCCCAGTGTTTGGCGATCAGCCGGGCAATGCTGATGCCATGGTCAGTCAGGGCTTTGGTCTGTCTCTCAGCCTCCTGACCCTCGAGGAGCAGTCCTTCCGCGACACTATACTCGAAATTCTGGACAATCCCAAGTACAATCAAGCGGTGAAAGCCTTTTCCTCGCTCTACCGCGATCGTCCTCTGAGCGCTCGTCAAACCCTACTCTATTGGGTGGACTATGTCATCCGGCATCATGGTGCGCCGCATCTGCAGAGTCCGGTGGTGCACATGAGCCTCATAGAAGCCCATAATTTGGATATTTATGCCTTGCTTTTGGGCATACTATTTATTATTTATTGGATTAGCAAGCGTTTGCTTTGTGCCATTTGTAGGAAATTTGGTACAAAAAAATCGAAGAGTCACTTAAAAAACAAAACCAAAACGCAAAAAAAAACAATAAAGTCATTCAGCAGTCGTAAGTTTTGATAAGAAATTGAAAAATTAGTTTTATCTGCTCTGACTAAATATTCTGGCTAGACATTTTGGTGCTTTCACGTGGTTTTTGGGCGGAATTCTTATCAGCAAAGGCCATTTGAATGATTATAAATGTGATACTCAGTTGAAACATTGTTTCCCTGTTGTTGGGGCACTAATTGGGCTATTGAAGGGTGTCTGAAAGGTAGGAGATTATTAAACTACTGCGGAGAGCAGGACATAATTTCTTAAACAATTAAAATATAATATTACAATATCAGAAATCGTTATATGAGACCTATACAACAAATTTGATCGGTTTTTTAATAGATTATTCTTGACAATATAGGAAAAATATTTATTTTTATTTTGCGTACAAATTCTAAACATTTTGTGACAGCACAGAAAACATTTATTGAAGAACTTAAACATCCAAAGCATTTCCTATTTTTCTTTAACGATCTACTTATTATAGGGAAATTCTATGCGAAATTTGTATTTTCTTGAATGTGTTGCATAACCAATAAGTTGCTAAAGAATTATTAATTGTAGAGAAATGCTCGGGATTTATATTAATTACAGGGCATCAGAGAGCTGCGATAAGTATGAGACAAAAGCTTTGCTTGTAACATGATCGAAGGAAGGATCGACTAGCTCAGGCTTGAAACTAACATGCAAGCTCGAAATCAAACTAGTTGGATCATCAATACTGCGGGAATAAATATTCTAAATGGGCGCCACATATAAAGAGTCATACAATACGAAACACTGAGCATATTTTCCAAGGGTTAATACCCTTTCAATATCTGGTATTTCTTCCTATTAAAACCCTCTAAAATCTTGTAATTCTTATAAATATTCCCTCCCCCCCTTACAAATCGATTCGAATGAAACTTTTGCGTATTTCCGTTTTCTCGCGCTTGATGCCTTGATAGACTGCTTAACCACCTTTATGTTGATGTTGATTTCTGTGCAACTTTGGTTACCCCAAAGCTATTCTTGCTGCTTCCCCCCACACACCCCCCGCACAGTAGCTTTAGCTACCCTTTCCAGTGGGTAGTGAAAAACTTCTCTGTGTTGGCAACTTTATTACAAAAATTCGCAGAATACTTGAGCGCATCGCCGTCTCATTGTTGTAGTCTCTACGGATGGTTTTTGCACTTCAATGCCAATTTGCAATGCACTAGAAATTCTTTAGAGTTGAATGTTTTGGCTGCGCGAAGGTTGTTTGGGGGGGGATAACAACAACATGGAGAACAACATTTTGCAATAAGCAAATTTCAATTGAAATAGCAAACGGAAAAGGCATTCAGACATTGAGCATGGGAGAGCAGAGCAGAGCAGAGCCCTGGCCTGGCCTGCACTCCCCACATCCCCATACATAACGTGGTCTGCGCTCTGTGTAAATCCATCCAGCAACGAAAAAGTATTTCAGAAATCTCTGCAATTGTTTTGTTTCCCTCTCTTTTTTTGGGGGGGAGGTATAGAGTGTGGATGGATAGATGGATATATGGAAATACCAATGGAAACACAAACAACTGAGAAAAAGAGAGTAAAGAGAGATGTTATTTTCTTAACTAAAAACAAACAACAACAAAACTAGCTGAAAAACGCGCGTCAAGTATTTCATTAATTAATATTGTTTTTGCAGGTAAACAACAACCGTAGCAGAGTTTACAAATTGGATAGAGTGTTGTACATTTTATCCAAATCCTCTCACACACCACAAAAAAAAGGCAAGCAAATTTTGCTATTATTTTGCACATATCTAAAATATTTATTACTTTACAAACATGTTTCATGAGGGGATTTGGTTGCCTTTGCCCAGCTACCAGCTACCAAAAATAGAATCAAGAAAATTGCACGAAATTGTATCAACATTTTTACACATTTAATGAAATTTTTTTGGCCAGCATCCTGTGTTCAAATAATATACAAAAATGTACAACAAATTGTGGTTGGGGGAGAGTGTGGCAAGGGTGGGGGCGTAGGTGTTTTTAAGTGTCCAATGATTTAATGAAATTTTGGAAAAAATCTCCATAAAATGTTTAAGGATTATAAGGAAATATTTTGTGTGGTTTCAATTTTAATTTTATTTAATTTTACCTGAAACTCTTTATCGAATTTATGCTTTCCCTTCTTCTCCTGTTCTATCCCGTCTCTTGCTTTAAAAATCTGCCTTGTAGCTGCCTAAACTGGTCTTCTTTCATATGTCATGGCAGCACTCAAGCTCTCAAGGGTTCCGTTTGGCTTTTGTTAAATATTTATCTACTTTTAGCTGATTTAATTGCATAATGCAGCACTTGAGTGGCACCTCAAGCATACGGGGAATCGGAATCCCTATTCAAACTAATTTTCTGCCCTCAACAAACCAGTTTTCCTATTTTTTTTTTAGCTGAACCCTCAAAATGGGAACAGCGTTTATGTGCTCCCATTCTGCGCGCTCTTTTGTTGTCAGTTTTGTTTAATTAAATTTGGAATAACAAAAAGCGAGAAACGATCCTCTGTAAACAGCAGTTCCCTGGAAACTCCATTACCATTTTCAAGTGCCTGACAATACAGACAAAAAAAAAAAAACTCCATCCATTTCGTGTGGAAAGGGCAAAACATTTTCTACGCCGTAGTTGAAGTCGCATAATTCATAAAGCCGCAGGGGAGACATTCCATACACACAGTAGAGTACAGAATTCGATTCCTGTTTCATAACCTACCCTATCCTGTAGGTACAATGAATGTCCTTTGCAATGGATATGTCTCAATCAGTTGCCTGTTCTCTAGGGTTCTGACTGTTCTCTGCCATTCCCTGCAATTTGCTCACAGCACGTGCCCCCTGCAATTACTTTCAGGACACGACAAAATTTAACGATGGGAAAACACTGGGAAGAGAGTGGAAATGCAATTTCAATGAGCGCTGCTCATCAAAGTTTTTCTATGCGTTGCGTGGGAAAATCGGTTGCGGTTTTTGGGTTGCCTTAAACTTTTTTTTTTTTTTTGGTTGTGTCCTTCAGAAAGGGAAGCACTGCCTCACTGCGTAACGGCATCTGCCACTCTTTGATCTCTCCATTTCTCTGCAGCCTACTCTCTCCCCCTCTTTGATCTGTGCGTATGGCCTGTGGGCGTGGTCAGAAATGCACTGGGCTTTTTTCTGTGGGTCGGGGTGTTCGCTTCTTCTGTTCCTACGATTTTCAATTACTTTTGAACGCTGCGGCATTTGCGGTGAATTATGGCGACAAACGCAACGCGACGTGTGCACAACCCCCCCACCCCACCACCCCGCCTAAGTGCATTCTCCCTTTTGCGTTTTATGGAGAATTTTCAATTTTCGCATTGTTTTTCCATTGCATTTCATTTTGTTTTGTTTTTCCCTGTGGTTTGAGTAGTAGCGGTAGGGGCAGGGGAGGGGTAGCCCTATAGGTAATACACAAATTTGTTTTGGTTTGTTGGCTGCACGAAAATTGAAATGTGCAAAGGGAAAGGGAAAGGGAGTGGGAGTGGGAAGAGGGGAGCCCATAAACACATTCCAATCAATTTGTTTCGGCAAATGAATTATGCATTGAAAATTGCATCGTTTTCGTTTGGCTGCTGGGTGGAGTGATTCAAGGGGTGGAGGGAGAGTGAGGGAGTGGGGTATTGGGGTTAAGTTAAAGCACAAATATGCAGCACATTCTCTCTGTATGTGGGCCTGCAAGGGGTGTGTGGGGGTGGTGTGCGGTATATTGATGAGTAATTTATTCAAAATTATGATATTAATTTTCCCATCTGAATGTATTATCGAGTGCGGTTGAGGCATTCCGCTAAATACTCCTTACCACTATCTACTATTATTACTACTATTATTTATACTACTATTCCTACTTCTTTTTAGAGTGGATCAAGTTGGGTGTGGAATACACTTAATAAAACTAGGGATAAATTATTATTAGGGTTTTATGGTCATGTTTATTCTTGGCAAGAGTTTTTCTTTGTGAAAACATCTGCGGATAGTATTTTTTAGGTGAAATCCGAGAACCCAAAGGCATCTAACGAATTATCAGATATTACTTTAAATAGAAAATGTAACGATATTCCTACATTTCTCTTAAGAATAAATGTTTTCCCTCCAATTATAAGTTCAATCTCTGCACTTTCCTTTTTGATTATTCTCCCTATATCCGCTCTAGAGAAGCTCTCCCATAGGCTCATATCATCCATTAGAATTCCCATTTAACAATCATTAATTTCTCTGAATCAAACATCGATTTGAGGCCCAGTCGAATTTCCACTATTTTCCATTTTCCAACTTTTATAAACTTTTTGGCGTTGGATATTTATTCTGTTGGGCACTTTTTACCTTAACTTCAGATTCACTTCACTAAGCTTTTGTTGTGACAAGAATTTGTCGACATTTTGCATAATTAAACAATGCACAAAATGCACATTTTCTGTGTGGGTGTTTGTGTGTGTGTATGGCTTTGTGTGTGTGTTTCGCCAACACTTTTCCCCAAATGCTATTTTCCGCTGTTTTTCTGTTTTGTTTTTCCACCACTTCGCACCAAAAACAGATGAAAATGGCTGGCAATCTGCTGGCTGCACTTCCGTGTTGCTCAAATAAAATCAATAATCCTTAAAAATACAATATTTTGCACATAAATACGGAGTTTTTTTTTTGTTTGAAAAACCTGCGACTGCAAATGCATTGAGCGCGACAAAAAGCGCGCCAGGGATTTGCGTACGGTGCGTTTTTTGTCGCCCCCCCGCGCAGCGCTGCGACTTCGCATGGCGAGCGGCAGCAGAATCGACACCCGTCGAGCCCGACGCCGACCAATTTGTAATCAAAGTAATTTTAATGCAAATTTTATATGTTACTGCACGTAGGAGGTTGCAACGTAGCAGGGGGGCGTGTCAACGCCCAGCGACTGACTGAAAGCCGGCCAATAACAGTAAAAGCTGTTAAAAAAAATATACAAAAAAGCGGGTATGGGAAAATAGTTTTCGGGGGTCGAGGCAGTGGATACCCTTAACGAATGATTTTTAATATGT